ATGATGCATGGTGCTTGTTTGTTGAAATGCCTCACAAAGATGGTGTTTTATGGAATGTCATGCTTCATGGTTATGTTAAAAATGGAGAATCGAAGAATGCTGTTGGAATGTTCTTGGAAATGAGAAATAGTGAAATTAAGCCTAATGCAGTGACGTTCGCTTGCATTTTGTCTGTTTGTGCCTCAGAAGCTATGATTGGTTTTGGTACTCAGCTTCATGGGCTAATTGTTGCTTCTGGGTTGGAGTTGGATTCTCCAGTGGCTAATACATTGTTAGCAATGTATTCAAAATGCCAGTGCTTGTCTGAGGCTCGCAAATTGTTTGATATGATGCCACAAACTGATTTAGTGACATGGAACGGAATGATATCTGGGTATATACAAAATGGGTTTATGGTTGAGGCTTCACGCTTGTTTCAAGCGATGATTTCTTCTAGTGTCAAACCGGACTCAATCACATTTGCAAGTTTTCTACCATCGGTTGCTGAACTGGCTAGCCTCAAGCAAGGTAAGGAAATTCACGGTTACATTGTAAGACACTGTGTGCCTTTGGATGTGTTCTTGAAAAGTGCACTGATTGATGTATACTTCAAGTGCAGGAATGTGGATATGGCACGCAAAATTTTCAACCAAAGCACCAGAACTGATGTTGTCATGTGCACTGCTATGATTTCAGGGCTCGTTCTCAATGGGATGAATAATGATGCATTGGACATTTTTAGATGGTTACTTAAAGAGAAAATGCGACCGAATTCTCTAACCTTGGCAAGTGTTTTACCAGCTTGTGCTGGTTTGGTTGCTCTGAAATTGGGAAAGGAATTGCATGGAAACATCCTCAAGCATGGGCTTGACGGAAGGCTTCATCTGGGAAGTGCGCTTACAGACATGTATGCAAAATCTGGAAGATTGGATCTTGCTCATCAAGTTTTTGAAAGAATGTTTGAAAGGGACACCATATGTTGGAACTCAATGATAACAAGCTATTCCCAGAATGGCAAGCCAGAAGAGGCCATTGATATATTTCGTCAAATGGGGATGGCAGGTGCCAAGTATGACTGTGTAAGCATTTCAGCTGCTCTTTCTGCTTGTGGAAACTTACCGGCACTTCATTATGGGAAAGAGATTCATGGTTTCATGATTAGAAGTGCATTTAGGTCTGATCTGTTTGCTGAGAGTGCACTGATAGACGTGTATGCCAAATGTGGAAACTTAGTTCTTGCTCGCCGTGTGTTTGACATGATGGAAGAGAAGAATGAAGTTTCCTGGAACAGCATTATTTCTGCTTATGGGAGTCACGGTTGCCTTCAGGACTCTGTTGTCCTGTTTCGTGAAATGTTGGGTAATGGGATCCTGCCTGATCATGTCACCTTTCTTGGTATATTATCTGCTTGTGGCCATGCAGGCCAAGTTGATGATGGAATTTTCTACTTCCGTTGCATGATTGAGGAATATGGGATCCCAGCTAGGTTGGAGCATTATGCTTGCATGGTAGATCTATTTGGGCGTGCTGGACGTTTAAGTGAAGCATTTGAAACAATAAAGAGCATGCCATTCTCCCCAGATTCTGGTGTCTGGGGAACATTGCTTGGAGCTTGTCGGGTCCATGGCAATGTTGAGCTTGCTGAAGAGGCATCAAGACATCTCTTTGACGTAGAACCACAAAATTCTGGGTATTATATACTACTCTCAAATATACATGCTGATGCTGGAAAATGGGGGAGTGTGCTTAAGGTTAGAAGTTTGATGAAGGAAAGAGGAGTTCAGAAGGTTCCTGGGTACAGTTGGATCGAGGTTAACAACAGAACTCATATGTTTGTTGCAGCAGATGGAAGTCACCCACAGTCTGCTCAGATATATTCAATGCTCAAGAGTCTTCTTCTTGAACTGAGAAAAGAGGGTTATAATCCTCAACCCTATCTTCCTACACATCCACAAACGTCGGGGATGTAACTACTGGAAAGTTTCATTGTCTCCTCTAATCCTAGCAACTTCAGGATTAGGAATATGGTGCTGGCTCTGTGAATTATGGTAAGTCAGGGAATGAAAGGTTGTTGAACTATTCTATTTTACCAATTGCTAGATACATTTTTTATGTGCGTACTCGGATCTACAGTTGTCACCTGTAATGAATGAAGCTTAAAGTTTTTGTCATCTGCTTTCTTGCATTGGTTGGAAGCACAACAGTGAAAGTTAGATGAATCAAAAGTTCTTCCTATACAAAACTCCAAAGCTAGATGTGCTTTGGTGAGAATAAACAAATATCAGTTCTTATCAACAAAGAAGTAAACTAAGATCGCTGGCCTCTTAACCTGTCTGTTGCCCCTCTCATTTTATATTTTATAAAGGATAATCTTTCCTTGATATTGCACATTTGATTTCTTGCTTCAGTGCATTATATAGGACAGAGATACTAGTGCATCAAAAAAAATTTATTTTTATTTTCTGGCCAGGGAACATGAAATGAATTGTTGTGAAACTGTATGCTGTTTTGTTTTTCCTTTCTTGACATTTTAATTAGAGTTTTAGAGAGAAAAAAGCTTTAATCATTTTAACTTAAAGTGTGTAATTATACATAGCTAACTTAAAGTGTGTAATTAGACATTAATCCTTTTTTTTTTTCTTCTTTGTATCATTCTATAGAACCAGATTAATTGTTGGAAATCATTGGAACTGATCAAGTTGGGCTTGATCTGCTTAGGTTTCCAAGAACCTAAGCCCTAAGTTTATTTATTTTAGTTTATTTTAATTTTATATTGTGGTCAGTCTTATCATATACCCATTTTTCTTGTAGTTACAGTTGTTCCAGCTTGGGCAGATGTATTATATTTATTCCTATGGCTTAGGTAAGATATAATTGCAAGATTGTAGCTTTTGGTCTGAAAATTACTATGTTAATTTTAAGGCATATAAGTCTCTGAGGTTTGAACCCTTTGCTCTCTTTCATTTTGGAGTCTTCAGCTATAGAATTAGAGCTTCAAGTAGGTTTCTGTATTTTGTTAACCCTTCCTTTTGCGTTATGTGAGAATCTCTGGAAGTGGTCATTGTTTTGTGGAGTGGAAAGATAGGTTTGTTTTGCAGGAGAGGAGGCAAATATGTGGTCAAAAATTTCTTGAAGGATTGTGCTGGAGAATCCATTTGCAGTTGTGGGTACTGAGATGAGCGTTCGACACGTGATCTATATCGTTGCGGAGGGATTTTTGGAAGTGCACAGAAAGGAAAACTTCCTAATATTGTTTAAGAATGTACGTTTACGTTTGCGGTTTTCTGTCTAAGACATAGCTTTAAAGGCTTTTGATATGTAAGAGCATTTCCACCAGTTAGCCTCTTACCATGGCAAGGGGAGCCCTAGGGCAGCTACTATTCACATAAATAGTGACTGCCCTAACCCCCCCAACAAAGTGTATTTTCAATAGTTTAGGCTTGCCATGGCAAATACTATTCATTTTTTTTGTTTCTTTTCACAACTTTGTGTACTTAAACAATTAATTTGGATAATATTTTCGGATAAGATTTTTGGGTTCCTACGTGTCAATACTATTCATATCAGATAAGATTTTCGGTTTCAAATTTCAGATAAATTTCAGATAAATTTCAAAATTCAGATACATTTTAAAATTCAAAATTCAAAATTCAGATAAATTCAAAATGTCAAATTTCAGATACATTTCAAAATTCAAATTTCAGATAAATTTCAAATTTCAAATTTCAAATTTCATGTGAATTTCAAATTTTCAATAAGATTTTTACCCTCTAAAATTGCGTCATGTGTCATCTCTATATGCCTAAATTTTTCTATAAAACAAGAGACTCAGCTCATACCTCCCACACCATATCTTCTCTACATCTTCATTTCTTAGATTTTAGATTTCATTTCTCAGATTTTAGATTTCATTCTCCATTTTCAATGGCAGACATGCAAGAGGTTTTGGAAAGGCAAGAGCGAGAGAGGATAGAAAGAATGCGTCGACGAGTTGCAAGCAAAAGGGCGTAGAGAGAACTAGATGAGCAACTTGGCATGGCTGTTGCTTTGCTGGAGGAAGAAAACTAGAGCCGCCGTGGTTCACGAGAAGGCCGTGCCCTGAATGTGGATAGACATAGACATTCTTGGGGTAAGAATCTTATGGAAGATTATTTTATCCCACATTCTCCGTACTCTGATATTCATTTTCGAGCGAGATATAGAATGCAACCCCATTTGTTCAATAAAGTCATGCATGATATTTGTAATTATGATGAATACTTTGTTCAAAAGAAAAATTGTGTTGGAAATTTGGGGCTTCTTCCCGAGCAAAAGTTACGAATGTTGGCGTATGGGTCATCTGCGGATCAGGTGGATGTGATTGCCTGGATGGGGAAGTCCACTATTTTGGAGAGCTTGGTGTGATTTTGTGATGCAGTGGAAACTCTGTACACCATGGACTACTTGCGCAGACGTACGCCCAGATACCTGCAACGGCTTCTACAAAAAGCTGAGTCTCGTGGATTTCCTGAAATGATAGGCAGCATTGACTGCATGCACTGGCAATGGAAAAATTGTCCAACTGCTTGGCAAGGGGATTATGGCAATCGGAAAGGGCAGAAAAGCATCATCCTCGAAGCAGTTGTTGGTTTTGATACATAGGTTTGGCAAGCTTTTTTTGGAGTTGCCGGCTCTCAAAACGATTTGAATGTCTTTGGTCAATCCCCGGTGTTCAATGATGTTCTGAGAGGTGAATGCCCAAATATCACATATCAAATCAATAATACGTATACCAGAACGGGTATTATTTAGCTGATGATATCTACCCGAGATGGACAATATTTGTGAAATCAATTCCACATCCTCGATCCCAGAAGAATTTTTTTTTTGCTGCCTATCAGGAGGGGTACAGAAAAGATGTGGAGAGGTGCTTTGGTATCCTTCAAGCCTGGTGGGCTATTATCAGGGGCACGACACGTCTATTTGACGAGGAGGTGCTTAGAAGTATAATGATGACTTGTATCATCCTCCACAACATGATTGTGGAAGATGAGTCTGATTACGATGCTGATGAAGTGTATGAACCAGATCCCATGAACACGGCCTTAACACGAATTTATGAAAAATCTATGGGGCCGAATGGAGAACCAGTGCAGCCTGATCCGTTGGTTAGAGACGGTAGTTTCATGCATCGTATGATTCAGCGCTACACGGAGGTGCAATCATCGTATATTCATGAACGTCGTCAAGTTGACTTGATGAAGCATTTGTGGGCAGTGAAAGGCAATGAAGGTGAATGAAGTGAAGTGAAGATGTTCTTTTAATGTATTATGTTTATGTTGTATTTTTAGTTATGCTTTGCTGTTTTTTTATGCTTTAGTTGTGGTTTGTTTATTTTTTATGCTTTGGTTGTGGTTTGCTTTTGAAGTATGGAATGTTTTGAATAAAAAGGAATTTTGTTGAATATTTTCTTTATTCACTAAAAGAAAATCAATACAACTCATAAAATAAAATACATGAATTACCACTAATTTTTTAAACAAAACAAAAAATACAATGAAATGAAAGGCAAGCAAACTAACTTAATGGTACAATGAAATGAAAGGCAAGCAAACTAACTTAATGGTTTTGATCATTTAACCAATCCGTGTTGCTAGGTCCATCATCATGAAAAAGTCTTCGTCTCATAACATCCATTCGTTCTAGCTACCAAAATTGTTTTGTTTCAGGGGACATATGGCTTGTATCCATGGCCATGGTTTCCCGATCCTTTTTTTCAATCTTTTCTTGGCGTGCATACTCTCTTTCTTGGCGTACATACTCCATTTCTTTTGCATTTTCTAGATTAATTGCCCTATCATGCTCTTGTTGTTTCATGTCCATTTCAATTCTCATGGCTTGCAACTTTGAAAGTTCTTCCATAAATTTAGACGCATTCTTGGTAGAATTACTCCATCTCTTCGCCTTTGCCGCTTTCCTCCCAATAGGCCTCGGCTCCTTTTCGATAGGTCAGTCTTGACTCATCGGGGAATCCATAGGTGAATCCGATGTCAGTGTCTCATGGAGTGGCATCTCGTTCAAGACTATCGTCGGATCCATTGCAATAATTTGGAATCTCTTACAATTCTTCACCACCTCCCAACATAGGGTATGGTTGCAACTTTTTTTGCCTTGCCCAGTAGCACCAAAAAACATTTGTGCTTGTATAATCTATTAAAAAAAAAATGGAAATGCAAGAAACTTTAAAAATTATTGGCAATGCAACAACTATAAAAAAATAATAATGGAAATATAAGAAACTTTAACAATTTATTAGAAACGCAAAACAAAATATAAATATTGCAACAAACATTCATATTAATATTGGAAATACAAGAAATATTAACAAAATATATAAATTGCAAGAAACATTTAAATAAAATTTAATATGAAATAGAAATTAATAAAACAAAAATTCAAATAATTTACCTCGCTGGTAAGGTTTTCCCCGCTTCTATGGTTGTCCATCGCTTTTGCCAAGGCATCTCTTCATTTCGCCAACTCTTTCTTAAGAATTTTCCACCTACTAGATAATGCAATTTCGTACGGGTCAAACCAATTACCCTTTCACAAAAATCCTGATGAATTTTCTTCCACATTAGATAGAATTTCATCTCATTGCCCGTTACGGGACAATGACTAATGTGAAGCCAAGACTCACACAAGCTAACATCTTCCATGATGCTCCATGGCCCTTCGGTTTTACTAGAAGAACCCATAAATTTTTCTGAAAAAATACAACTTGAAAGTGAGAAAAATAGAGTAGAAAGTGAATAATAGTAGAAGGAGAAGAAAATGTATGAGGAGTTGGTGTTAAAAGTGAAGAGTATTGGTTGGTATTTATAGAAAAAAAATTCAGTAATTTTTGGTATTTTTTAAATTTTTTTCTATTTTTTAAATTTTTTTAATTTGAGATTTTTGGTAATTTTTAAATTTTTTTCTATTTTTTAAATTTTTTTAATTTGAGAAAAAATTGGCTGTCATTGGATTGCTGGAAAGGGGATCGGAGAGCCCAGAAGGAGCCACGTGGAAGAGAGCAATTGGGGGGGCAGTTTCAATTTTTTTAAATTTTTTTATTGGCGAAAAAATGACTGCCGTTGGATTTCTGGAAAAAGTGGATCGGACAGCCCAGAACCAAGCCACGTGGAATAGACCCGTTGGGGGGCACTATAGGGGGCACGTTACGTCATCACGCTGACGTCACGACGACATCAGCCCAAAACGAGTTTTGGTGCTCGAGCCAGACCTCCCCATGGGCCAGCCCAGTTCGCTGGGCCCCACACCTTGCCCTGGCAGATTTTTGTTGTTGGAAACACCATTTTGGGTTTGTCCCCCCTAGCCCTCCCCTTGCTGGAAATGCTCTAAGAAGCTTGAAAGGTTTTGACAGCCTAGTATGAGTTGATAGTTCTAGTG